TAAAAAAGATCAGTCGCACGAGTGCGTGCTCATGGAAATAGTTATTCATCGTCAGTTATTTCTCAGCTACTGTAACTGTGGTGATGTGCAATATTAACGTTTTCAACTCCTTGAGACCACCGGTGGTTCCAAAACGCACTTCGTCGTATTCTTCATAACTTTCATATTTCATAAGCTACATTCTAAAGGTGGGTGTCATATGAGAGCTTTCCAGTCAAATAGATGGGTGATGTAATTTTAAACCCTTATAATAAAAGAAGCTGAACTCTCAATTTTTTTTGTCTACTGAAAGTCGACCCATTTTTCCACAAATCTGGGCTATAAACTATAAACAGATGGCGTCTCTTCAGTGATCTGCTCTGTAAAAACTATTTTTATAAGATAAAACAGCGTCTAAGATTTTTGGCTTTCAGCAGTAAATTGTAAGCATAAAGCAATATGTTTATGATCATAAAACACATTCTGTTAATTTGAGGGGAGCTTTTAAAATAAATAAAATAAACATTTACATTTATTTCATGCAGTTACTGAATAATTTGCCTTACGATTTGGTCATGTTCAGATGAACAAACCAAATTATACCCTGGTCAATAAGAGGTTAAACCCAGGTCTTCGGTTTAGCCATAGTCATGTGAGCTGTGAAGCAGGTTAAGCTGTAGTATTTACGGTAATTGTAGTCCATCAGGTAAAAAAAAAAAACAGACAGGAACAAATATTAGACACAAACCCAGCAGCAATTTGGAATATTAGACACAAACCCAGCAGCAATTTGGAATATTAGACACAAACCCAGCAGCAATTTGGAATTTAAAATCTTTAGCCTGTTTTTTAATTGATTACATTAATAAAGACTTATTAAGCAAACGGTGACCCTTTAGGTTGTAAAATATTTCACTTCCCGTTTTGAAATGTGCTTCCAGTCATACATGCATTCCTGCTGGTGTGGGATCCTCCTGCGCACAGGTGCAGAAAAAGTTATACTTGAGGGCCCTTGTAGGGAATCTAAATTATTGTGAATAAAATAAATTATGTGTACATTTAACAACATAAACATTTAAATACAAACCTTTTAGACTCTGCTTCTGTTTTCTCGCAGTTTAAATGATTGTTTTCCCACTTTTTGAGATTTATATTTTTTAGAAGAATTTCTGTAGTTTTAATCTCTGAATTTGTGCTACAACGCTTGCGACTTTATAGCACCAGCACCATATGTGTAAATATTTATGCACAACCCCACCCTCAGAATAAATAATTCTGTTTTATTAGATTAGAAATGTTGAATAAAAATGAGTTTTTGATGGCACATTTTTGAATGTGGCACTACTACACCACAAAGGGTTCTGTATTGTATTCTATATAGCAACAATAGTGGAACCCTTTTTGGTGCAATATAGAACCATGTTTAACCCTCTATTGCACAATGTTGCCTCAGGGCAACAAACTCATTTTCCTCTCTCTACAATAACAAACATATTTACAGACAATGACCAGGTTAACCATAAAGGAACGAGTTTGAGTTAAGTCAATAAAAAGCATGTACTTGGTCGTACTGTCTCTTGGTGGACACTTGTAAACTTCTTTTTTAACGTTCAGTATCATTTGTTTTTTGTTATGAGAATTTGCAGAATTATGTTTGTAGCCTAGAAGCAACATTGTGCGACAGTGGAATGGATTTAGTCAGTCACAAGCCAGGTCTCACCACTTCAGGGAACACGGCTCTGTATCATTTCTTCTCGTTGTCTCACGATGTTGCCTCAAGGCAACATACTCGAAAAGGACCCATGCAAACATTTTTTAAGATGTTTTTGAATAATCAAGTCCATTTTATGCAAGAAAAGTGAAGCGAATATATATTTTTAAATTGCTCCTATAATGCGTCCAGTAGAGGGTTAAAAATGCAGTGGAGGGTTAAAAATGCAGTGGAGGGTTAAACGTAATATACTTGCATGTGTGGTTTCTGACACTGTAAGATACACTGCTATGTGTAAACATGGACAAATTGTATATTACATAATAGACAACAAATGGACATGAGGCAGATTTAGGCATGCAGTTAACACAGCGCTCATTGTTGCAGTATCGTCTTCAGATAGATAGAGAGAGAGAGAGAGAGAGAGAGAGAGAGAGAGATAGAAAGAAAGAACTTTATTGATCTCAAAAGGAAATTGCAGTGTTTCAGTGACAAGACATATATTTGCAGATAAACTTACATATACTATGCAGAAAATAAAAAACAAATAAAAATAGACAGTTAAAGTATAAGACAGTAGAAATAAAAGTATATCTTATTTGCATATTTACAAGGCATATGAGACAGATTTGTTGTATTTACATGATAGCAGGCACTGAGTGGTATGAGGTGGTCTAAAAGCACAATGAGTATAGACATAACTAACAAGGAGTTGCAGCAATATTATAGGGTAAGGTGCGCAGTGAGAGTCATTACAGTAGTTATGATATATTGTACAGTGTGTATTAACAGGAGAGGTGATACAGTGATGAGGTTCAGCTCAGTTCAGACAGCAGGAGATCAGTACCATCTCTGCAGTAAGGAGACTCGCTGTAGAGCCGTATAGCAGTGGGTAAGAAAGATCTCACACGGCGCTCTTTAACACAGCACAGCTGTAACAGTCACTGAATGTGCTTCTCTGTTTATCCAGTGTAGCATGCAGGGCGTGTGAGGTGTTGTCCAAGATGGCTAACAGCTTGTTGAGCGTCCTCTGTTCTGCCACAACCTCCAGAGAGTCCAGCTTGACCCCTACAACAGAGCCAGCCTTCCTAATAAGTTTGTTTATTTGTTTTATAATACTTAGCCTTGTAGCTCCAGTGCAAAACTAAAGAGGCAAACTTCACCCAGCAACCATGTCTTGGCTGACAAACCACATCTGGAATAATAGGGGAAATATGTGAACTAACCTATTGCTGCAATCTGCAGTTTACAGACATTTTTCATGTTATGGAACATGAGATTTCAAGTTGCTGCTTCTGGTCGGGCCTCAGCGATGCTATCAGCACTGAAACAACAAGATGTCCTCTCTGCTCTTGTGAGAGAGAGCGAGAGAGAGAGAGAGTGTCCCTGTTGGAGAGGCTCTTATGTCAGCACTAAACATTAACACGCTCCACTCAACATGCTCCCTCAGCAGCTGTGCACTGTGCACTCCCCCTAATGAGGGAGAGGCCTGTTTAACCATCCATACACAGACACGCTACAGAGTTTTGGTGCCTAATCTATTCAAATGCCTTCGAAAATCTCATCTTGAAATGCAGATGGTCAGTGTGTGGTGTCTCCTCAGCTATCCCTGCACCTGCAGGGCGCAGCATTACCTGTTCCATCCTTTATCCACTGAATGAATGCCTTGTACAGTAGATCACTGTGCTGAAGGTAAGGACTTTCGCTCATATTAGCTAACAAAAATGACATGTTCTGTTTGGTATATGAAGCTGTTGCTGCATTCGACGTGGCTTACACTTGTTGGAATTTCCAACCTCTACACATTAAAGCTACAAGGTGGGGAAATACATGGACACTTCCATGAAAGCTAGTTCTATTAGCAACAAGCTAGCCAGCTGGTGTTAGTGATATATGTGAAAATTTGAACATAAGTGATGTTTTTATCTTCTCAAAACAGCATATTTTATAGATTTAACCAGCAACTCTCACTATGTTGATAAAGTTGAACCAAATACTACTATAATCTCATTTAAAAGTAGAAAAATGGTTCTTTATTACTGTTGAGGGTGTGAGCAGCCCAACTGACATGGCTGAACCCGGCTTTGAAGTAACCCGGAGGTAAGTTAGGAATTCCCAGTCGAGGGAAGGTCGGAAATTCCGAGTTATGAGATCTACTTGAATGCAGCGTAACACTAAGGCTGGCTTTACATGTGGAAACTTTCATGCAACTGGTTGCAGATTGTACGTTTTCCATGCAACTTAAGTTACCCAAAGCAATTAAAAATAGTCACATGCAACTTTTGCTAACTATACCATTAACACTAGTTAGCAACATCATTAGCTAGTATATTTTATGTAGTGCATTGTTCTGGCTGTATAAAATCACGTATGATTTTTCATAGCGGAAAATGAATGACCTAAGATTACTAAAGGTGAACAAAGCAGACCAAATGCTGTCACAGGCACCATTTAATCATTAGCTGGCTATCAGGGCTAACTAGCCTGTTATGCTAACTGGCTACTAGAAAATAAGCAAGATCACTTTTAAAGACTGTTCGTTTTCCATGATGCATCTGCTGAAATCAGTTGGTTCTAATTGTATCAGTTGAAATGATCACAAGGTTCAGTATAGATGTTTCACCAAGTCAAGATGGTGGAGTTTCAAACTAGTTTCAAGTGAGTTGCAGGTGACTTTACATTTTGTCTTGTGTATGTTTCAAGCAACTGAATTTACAGGAAAGCTTCACCATGTAAAACCAAATCAAGAAGCCATTGGCAGGTAATTACAGGGCTACACGCCCATCCCGTGTCCTCATTCCTGCTACAGCTTTGCCTGTATTTGGATGACGGCATCATGCACTATGTGTCCACAAGTTTGTGGACACCGGCTCATGCCCGGCTCCGGCGCTGCCTTTCCCTGAAGGATTTGATTGCATTCAGCCACAAGAGCATCAGGTACTGATATAATTAGTTCTGGATTCCAAAGGTATTGGGTGAAGCTCCATCACTCTACATCGCTCCACAGCCCAATGGCTTTATATGGCTTTATATTCCTCTAGCCCAAGCCAGGCACTGGACATGTGACCTTAAGCTCATGTGCAGCTGCTCCAGAGTGTCCCTTTCTATTGGTCAGTGCTTTTATACTGATTATATCCGTACAATTGAATGCAATGGGTGCACTTTAAAGTAGCTGAATTCTCTAATTAAAAGAGATGTCTGGATACTTTTGGTCACATAGTGCATCATGGCTAGTTTTGTCAGCTAAGAATTGGCCTGTATTGTAATGTGCACAGTTGTGTTGATGTATGTATGTATATATGTATGTCAGGGCGCTACACAGCTCTCCAGGTGGAGTTTTCGGCTGCAGTGAGGACCAGCGCTGAGCAGAAGGAGCTCATCCTCAAACTCGAGCATGATCTCAGCACCATCCAGACCATGTCCTCCCTGTCCCGCCCTGATGCTGAGGTATGCACCCATACTGTTTGTGGCAGAGCATGTTTGGCTACGTCACAAACATTTAGGCAAAATGTGTATTTAGCAGAAATGGCTTCTCGCAGGTTTTAAGCCACAGTCAGCCTTGAAATTTGCAGAAGGCAGGGCACTGAAGCAGCTATGTAATTTTTCTCCACCAGGGGGCAGATCTGAGTGGCATGGACCGAATCCCAGAGCCTATTAAGGAGGCCACAGCCCTGTTCTCAGGTAAATCGACCACATAATAATGCAATTACATTTCACTGATGAGGCATCTTTTTAAACAAAAAGACGTCTAGGTTTGTCAGCTCAGTCTGAAGACAAATGAAAGGGGGCCATTTGGGGGGGTTGACTGGGAAATAAATTTGGACACAGCCCAAAAGAGTGCAGTGTACAGTGAACAGGGGACAGTTTTTGACCTAGCCCAAAATATTACACTGTATACTGTTTAGTGCACAGCCCAAAATAGCACACTATGTAGTGAACAGGGCAAACTGTTGACACAGCGCAAAAAAGCATGCATGAACAGGACAATGTTTTGGACACAACCCAAAATAGTGCATTATGCCACACAATGCCCAGTGTAGTGATTAGGGCATAGTTTTGGATATACCCCAAAATAGTGCACTATGTAGTGAATGGAGCATAGTTGCAGGCACGGCCCAAAAAGGTGCACTATGTAGTGAACAGAGTGTAGTTTCAGACACAGCCCAAATACTGGACTGCATAGTTTAAGAGACAACCTTAACATTTTTCCTTTTTGTTGGTTTAATAAATTCTCCCTTTCATTTTTTTGTATTATTTTTTCTGTTTTTTTTTTTTCACGCTCTCAGGTTCTTTGTCTTTTCTTTTATTTTTTCTTTCACCCTCTTTGTTTCACCCAAAGCTCCATCAAGAGAGCTACAAACACAGCAGTGTGTGAACACTGATTAGCCGTCAGCTGGACAGGCAGGCTCTGCTATAATTGAAGACTGTCCGATAAGAATGCTTCTGACCACTCCATCGATTGGACGCTGTGCTGTCAGGCTGACTAAGAAGTCCTCTTTGTGGAGCATTTCATGGTTGGACAATGGAACGTCTGAGCTGCAGGACCCTGTAAAATCTGAATATTAATGTGTGTGTGTTTGTGCTCAGGTGTGGGCAGCTCATCTCAGGCTGAGCTTCCTCAGGGTCAGATGGACTCTCTGCTGTCCATCATCTCCAGTCAGAGAGAGAGATTTCGAGCTCGTAATCAGGAGCTGGAAACTGTGAGTCCCGTATTACTGAAGTCCGCTTTTATCATCTACTTCCACAGTCCAGAAACTAAAGAGTTAATCATTCTTTTCTCTTGTCTCTTTGTCTTTCTTTTCTCTTTCTCTCTTTCTCTCCACTTCCTATTTCTCTTTTTCTCTCCTCTCTTCCTCTTTCTCTCTTGTTTCTTTCTGTCTTTCTTTCCCCTTTGACTATCTCCAAACCCTTTCACCGATTTCTCTCTCTCTCTCTCTCTCTCTCTCTCTCTCTCTTTCTCTCTCTTGTTCTCTCTCTCTCTCTCTCTCTCTCTATTTTCCTCTCTCTTTCTCTCTCTATTTCTCTCCTTCCACTCTCTTTCTCTCTCCACTCTGTATTTCTCTTTCTCCACTCTCTATTTCTCTCTCTCACCCTCTCCCTGGTTTCTCTCTCTCTCTCTCTCTCTCTCTGCTCTGTATTTCTCTCTCTCACTCTCCACTCTGTATTACTCTCTCACCCTCTCCCTGCTCTCTCTCTCCCTCTGCTCTCTATTTCCCTCTCTCTCTCTGTCTCTCTCTCTCTCTCTCTCTCTCTCTCTCTCTCTTTCTGTCTCTCTCTCTGTCTCTGTCTCTGTCTCTGTCTCTCTCGCTCTCTCTCTCTCTCTCTCTCTCTCTCTCTCTCTTTCTCTCTCTCTCAGGAGAGCCGCTCTATGCAGCAGACCATGCAGGCCCTGCAGAGTGAGCTGGACAGCCTGCGGGCGGACAACATCAAACTGTATGAGAAGATCAAGTTCCTCCAGAGCTACCCGACCCGAGTGAGTTTATCAGACGCTGACGGTTCAACACGCCGATCGCTCCTGGCAACAAATCCCCTTAATGACATGAGCAGCTGCAGCGAGAACACAGACCAAACCAAGAGATATCAAGAGAGAAATAATCACAGCCTTTAGCTGAGAAGTGGGTTTCTGGCGTAAGCTAGAGGCGCTACAGTACTTCATTACTGTAAATAAGGACTCTTTTCGAGTATCTTTACTTTATTAAAGAGACTCTTAATTTGACTTCAACACATTTCACAGTACAATATCGCACTTTTCACTGCTTTCTGGAAGATACTGTGAAGCAAAAAGTAGACTTTCCGTAATACAAAAGAATCTGATGCACTTAAACAAATAAATCAAACCAGTCATAGAGCACCTTTCACTAAATCCCTCCCCAAAATACTGAATATCCAGTCATAGCTTAGCAGCTGTAACTAGCTCCAGTGCCCTTTGACAAGCTTTCAGAATGAATGAAAATGCTCATTTTTAAAAGAATAGTTTGGTGAAAAATCAAATTAACATGATCTCCCACTTACCTCAAATGCAGCCGATCAGCTCAAACATGTTTGGTCTTTAAATCTTGCTTCTTTAGTTTAGAACTGGAGCTTTGCGGCTAATGTTGCTAACAAACACTGGAAGTCAATAGTCACCTAAACCGTTACCGTGAATACATGCCCAGAATCTTCTCTTGACCCACTCAAACTGCATCCAGTCCATGTGGTATGGAACACAGTATAACTCAGTATAAACTATAAAAACAAAAACCTTATTTGTGTAGCTAAAAGAAGGTGCAGCCATGTAGGACAACCGGAATAACACCTTTCCCAAGCAGTTTGATGTTATTCCGCGCGAGATGACCAAAGACAGGGCCTGAGGCACAGTTAGAGTAACGCAGGTAGAGAAGCTCAGCCAGTGTACTCAGAAAATCAGTACAGTGTCTGATTATAAATTTGAGGACCACATTTTCTGCACAACTGATTATACACATGAAGAAAGAAGCTATTCTGATTTCCGTTCCACCTTAAATGGGGCAGCAGTTACATCGTGGTGCCTCAGCCATAAAATCTGCAACCATCTTACCAACATTATCTCACAATCATTAAGAGATTTGTCTACTTTGTGTCTCCACTGCTGTCAAAATATTGAGAACCTTCTGTTGTGAAGTTCTGTAGACAGCGTTTATTGGTCTAATCCAGTGGTGAAGTTCAGTGATGGTGCTAACTCTGTGTGTGTGTGTGTGTGTGTGTGTGTGCGTACAGAGTGGAGGGACTGATGATACAGTGATGCGCTACTCTTCGCAGTATGAGGAGAGACTGGACCCCTTCGCCTCCTTCAGCAAGAAGGTGAGTGTACACAGTAAAAATCTGCCCACTGCAGTGTTTAACTGGGGCTACCATCAATTTTGGCTTCTTTTGGGTGATGTGTGATTTTCAATAACGCAGTTTGATCTAAAATTTGTCCTCAGGAGCGCCAGAGACGATACCTGAGCCTCAGCCCGTGGGACAAGGCCACCCTCAGTCTGGTATGATTTACACATTCACACCTGCCCCCTATATACAACTATATATCGCTGTTGTTGGAAGAAAACCTTGTATCTCCCTTTTTGACATTTTTCAGTTTTTGATGTGATTTAATAAAACCTGTTGTCCTTTACATTGTGTGTAAATTTCATGATGAATGGACCAAAAGAAACAGCCTAAAATTACTTGGAAAAACATCTGGTTCCACTTACATTAAAAGTAAATCTCCAAAATGGTAACTTCACAGGTAACACAGGTTCTGTAACAAACCCTTGTGCAACTACCTGCTAACTTTATAGGCAAGGGTAAAAATTGGTAACTTCAATAACAAGATTTTCATCCAAATCCATTAATCATGAAATATTCACACCCTGTGTTTCCAAATTTCACTGTACATCCAAAGGTATCCAGACAGCCCCTCTAATTAGTGAGAGCAGCCACACATGAGCCTAAGGTCATTATGCCCAGTGCCGAGTGTTGGGGTATAAAGCCCCCAGCATTGGGCTGTGGAGCAGTGGAACTGTGTTCTCTGGAGTGATGGAGCTCCACCCAATATGTCTGGAATGATTCAGGATCCAGAGCTGGTCCTCCAACATCAGTACCTGACCTCACTAATGCTCAACCAAATCCTCACAGCAGTGTTCCAGCATCTAGAGTAAAGCCTTCCCAGAAGAGTAGAGACTGTTACTGCAGCAAAGAGGGACAAACTCACTATTAATACCCTTCATTTCAGAGGAAACGCTACAGATTTTTGGGCATATAGTGAGAGCTGATTTTGTTCCAACACTGATGACAAATGCACATGCAGTGTAACGTCGCTGGCCCAAAAAAAAAGGATCTCCATTTTTTAATTTTGCCTTTTTTTCATATTGTGAAAATGTCATGATGAATGGACCAGTAAAAATGCTTCTAAATCACTTTGAATAAAATCTCATTCGTTTAACTTACAAATATAATTAAAGGTTTTTGCCCTGTTTTGTAAAGTCACTCTTTTGGAGGTCCATGTTTTTCTTTGGACAGAGATGATATGTTTAAACAGCTGTCAGTGTCCATATTTTATCATATTTTAGTTTATGCTTTTTAATTAGTGCGCTGAATAGAATTACATGCAGTGATGAGACCTGATCTCAGATCAGAGTTCTTGATTTTTTTTGTGTGCTGTGTTTCAGGGTCGTGTCATCCTGTCCAATAAAATGGCCAGAACTGTTGCTTTTTTCTACACCCTCTTCCTTCATTGCCTGGTCTTCCTGGTAAGGGGATAGCCTTCATTGGTCATTCCTGCTAGTTCTGTCATAATAGTGTGAGTGTTTAACCATGAGTTTACCAAATGAACCCAGGATGATGGAAAACATGGACATTTGATCTGCTCTCCATGAGGAAAAATGCTTTTTTTATTATTTAAGTGCAGCTTTTATTAGTGAAGTGGTCAGCATTGATGTTATTTAAACATTTCTGCATAATTCAGTGGTTTAAACAAAGTCATTCAGAGTGGTATCATGTGAAATGATGCATTATAGAGGAAACATAACCACTTTACAGTGGTGGTGATGGGAACCAGGGGTTGTATTGTGTACAACATAAATATAGTCCTTTTATTTACTATCCAAAATGAATGAATGTGAATCTACACATGTTTTATATATATATATATATATATATATATAATATATATATATATATATATATATATATATATACACACATATAAACACATGTAGATTGACATTCATTTTGGATAGATAAACTCCTCCATCATAAATGACTTTTTAAAATTATGTTTTAGGCCCCAACCTTCCCAAACCTATCATCATATTCATAACCATTTCATGTAATAACTTTCTGTGAGGGAGCTTTTAGAGGTGGACGTCTGTTTCCTATCAAAACCACTGTGAACAGTTCTAACTGCAGCAAATTTTCTGCAACAGAGCATTTCACACCAAACCACTCTGAATGACTTTATTAATAATTTGTGTAGAAATTTAGAAAAATCAGTGGAATTCCCCTTTAAGGTTAGGGCTGGGTTGGTAGGAGCACAAACATACAGAAATAGACACAAATACAAACGTGTGTCTGTGTGTGTTTTTCAGGTTCTCTATAAAACAGCCTGGAGTGAGAGCGTCGGTCGGGACTGTGCTGCCTTCTGTGCTAAGAAGTGAGTGTTTCCTGTGTCCGAACCTTTCTCACATTAACACTAAAGTAGACTGACCAGTCCACTTTGATTATACTTGTGCATATGCATGAATTGATCCTCAGGTCAGTGCACTTTAAATGTGTACTGGATGTATATGCTTATTTAGACCATTCTGTCCAATTAATAATGTGGGAAAGAGATCATAATGCGCGGCCACGACTTAGTAAGGTGTGAGAACAAGATAATTAACTTGTGACCATGACTTAATAAGGTGTGGGAACAAGATAATTATGCCTTGACCACAGCTTAATAAGGCATGATCTCATTCCCACTCCTTACTAAATCGTGGCTACGACTTATGTCGTTCCCACGCGTTAGGATCTCATTCCCACATGTTAATAAGTTGTGGCCATGCTTTATTTTTATTTATACAGGATGTCACCAGCGCGGCTCCGTAGATTCATATTTACATTTACACAGTTTGTTTCTTAAATAAAAACTTTTTTGAACCAAAACAGAAAAAAAGTTTAAGTCTGTAGGTGGAGCCTTAGCCACACCCCTGAGCAGGAAGTGAGACTGAAGTCTGAAAATCAGTGTGATATTAAAAAAATAAGTGTCTAAAAATCTTAAAACGGTTATCACTAACGAAACACACCTTTTCTGCAACTTTTACTGTTTTTGCATTTTAATGAAAAATATTATTTTATGTCTGTGCAGCTGTTTAAAGCTGTGTTTGCTGGTCACGTACTGAGATTGTTGCACAACAGTCACTACTGAATCAGTCACTGCTGCAACAGTCACTGCTGCAACAGTCACTACTGCAACAGTCACTACTGAAGCAGTCATTACTGAAACAGGCACTGCTGCAACAGTCACTACTGAATCAGTCACTACTGAATCAGTCACTGCTGCAACAGTCACTACTGCAACAGTCACTACTGAATCAGTCACTACTGAATCAGTCACTGCTGCAACAGTCACTACTGCAACAGTCACTACTGAATCAGTCACTGCTGCAACAGTCACTGCTGCAACAGTCACTACTGAAAGTCACTACTGAATCAGTCACTACTGCAACAGTCACTACTGAAACAGTCACTGCTGCAACAGTCACTACTGAAGCAGTCACTACTGAAACAGTCACTGCTGCAACAGTCACTGCTGTAACATTCGTTAAAGTCTCTGTAGTGTTATGATTGTTTTGTTAGTGAAAACCCAGAATGTTCAGTCATTTGTTTTAATAAGAATAAACATAATTAATGTACAGAGTCACTCAAAGCAAAATGATTTTAGTCTAAAGTCTGAAATGTGTTTTCGGCTCTGACTTTGAACCAGTTCAGCAGATTGATCCATAAAGCTGCTGTCGCAACAAAACCTCATATCTCCATTTTTGTTGTTTTTCAGTTCTTGACATAATTTAGAAAATGCCTGTTGTGTGTAAATTTCATGATGAATGGACCAAAAGAAACGGCTCAAAATGACTTGGAAAAAAGTCTGGTTCCATTGACTTACATTAAAAGTAAAGCAGGTTTTTGTTTCTCCTGTAAAGTTACCATTTTGGACATACGAGGTTTTGTTCCTACAACAGCGACAGACAAACTGCCTGTATTATGAAACTGAGCACCACTCTGTGTTTCTCCAACCCCTCCATCCTGCAGGTACGCGGATCACGTCCACCGTTTCCATGAGAACGCGGAAAACGGAGACATGTGGCAGTGATGTCGGCCGGTGCTGCACACATCAAACATGAGGAGTTTCTAGTCACCAAGTCTTAGTGCTGCATTCAGAGGGTTCAGAGTTAGATCAGATTAATAAACCAGATTTGACAGTTTGTCTGGCTCAGTTTCAAACTGAGAACAGGTGAAATTTCATTAACAGCCCTTGAACACAGCATGAAGACATAAGCCTCGTGTCTCTGTCCTCCCTTCAGCTCTCTGCAGTAGCTGCTCACGACCACTAGAGGGCAGACCTGTATTGTGTTAGTGCTTTGATTTGATTTAGACCAGTGAGTCCAGCGACAATCGTCATCCAGAATTCTCATCCAGCCTGAAATCACTGAAGAAACAGGATGACCATGATTGATTACTATGAATCTAATCAATGAAAACATACATGATCTTTATTTTACTTTAAGGTGGTGAATCTGTAGAAAGAGGGGACCAGTTTAGAATCACTATTACATGATTTGCTATTATAGGGAAGGATAAATATTATAGAGTGAGGTTAAAGATTAATAGGTGGTGGAATTTCAGTTACATTAGATAATAGTTTACGTGTGTGGCTGATTATTTATGGCAAATCTCTACATTAAATCAAAGCTGTCCTGTTTATCTCCATTAATTTCCACACTTAAGTGATTTTAGGGGTGTGGGGTCATTATTATACAGTTGTATGCAGAAGTTTGGGCGCCCCTGGTCCAGTGGCATGCTTTATTGATTTTCTAAGTGAGAATAAGTTCTACAGAACTTATTGCACATTTTAATGCACAATTACTGTTTATTTGCTGAATCTTGCATATTGGCAGAAAAACAGAAAATGTGGTCTGTGCAAAAGTTACGGCACATTTATATTTTATGTATTTTTTCCCCAATATGTTAAAATTATTAGAAGTTATGCACTAATTTTTGCCAAAAAAGTCATATTTTTACTTAGAAAATCAACTAAATGTAATTTGAATGCAATTCAATAAAAAATGATGTTTTCCCCCCAATATGTTAAACTGAAACAAATAGCAATTCTGCATTAGGTTTTGAAAAAAAAAACAAATATTTACTTAGAAAATCAACTAAATGTAATTTGCAATCAAATAAAGCATATTTAATTTTTTTCCCCTAATATATTAAACTCAAATAAATAGAAATTATGCATTAATTTTTGCAAAAAAAGTCATATTTTTACTTAGAAAATCAACTAAAAGTAATTTAAACGCAATAAATAAAAAAAAGTATGGCACATTTTATGTTTTATGTTTTTTCCCGAATACATTAAACTCAAAATAATTAGAAATTATGCACAAATTTTTGCAAAAAAGTAATATTTTCACTTAGAAAATCATCTAAACATAATTTGAACATAATTAAATCAGAAGTGTTCAAACATTTGCATACGACAGTATCTTGTTTGTTTCTATGCAGTATCTTATTTAGCAGCATATTAAGGTTGCGGTATATTAATCCTAGCTTTAGAGTCCATTAACAAGTTTAAACTGGGTGAGGACTTTAGGGTGAGTTTAGTGGAGCTTTAAAAGTGCAGACGGTCTTAGATATTTAACATAACAGGCGATACTGGCAGTGATTGACGAGTGGTTTATATTGACCAGGAGATAACGGCCGGAGATGTGAACAGGTCGAATGGATGCTTTGATGGAGATAAACACTTGCGTTTGGAAGATGCTCCTGTTTTTCTGTGGACACCCAAACGGTTCTGCTGATCGTATAAGTGCATCACGCTACGATCTGAGATGTACTCGGTGTCTAGTGCAAGTCTGGATAGGCTCCGTTCTCCTGTTAGCTCAGTCAGCCGCTGTAACTCTGTCTTGCTTTCTCTTCCTGCGCTTTCTATTAGTAGCCAATAAAACTGTTAAGCATCCAGCTGTGTGTCTTCATTTATCGCTGAGTTTTTCTATACTCACATGTTTTAAATGCATGCAGATTCAGATGTCTAATTAGCTGCTCAGGTGACTGTGACAGTTGTTCAGGTCAAGTCCAACAAATATACAGGGTGATTCAAAAAGATTTATCCGATTTCAAAGCGTCACATTTTTACAACCGTGAGGCGCCTAGGAACCAATCACATACCAATTGAAAGAGGGGGTCACAGAGTTTCTGACTGTCAGTGGAAGATGGCTCCCTTCAGTCTGTGAGGAGATGAGACCCCTGAGAAAGCGTTCTGCGTTCTCCACTTCAATAAGAGTGAATCCGTCATAACTGTGCAACGTGATTTTCGTGGGCAGTGAACCTCCAACAGCTCAGAGTGTTCGCCGTTGGTTCCACAACACTCCGATCTCCGAAATCGCACTGAAAGCCGTGAGTGCAGCGACACCCGACATGGGATGAGTTTGACTATGTTGTTGATGTTGTCTGTACAGCTGGAGGAGGTTCATATTGAGCACTTGTAAAATTACATAATAAACTTTATGCTCATTTAAACCATTTACAGTTTCACTGCATTGTTCTATAATGATATACAAGTGAAATTAATCATTTTGAAATCAGATTAATCTTTTTGAATCACGCTGTATTTTAATAAGATAAAAGAAAACTAATTGGTCAGAAGCACAGGTTCACATCCCTTGACCTGGAGAGCCCCTGTCCTGCACTTTTTGGTATTTTCTCTGGTCTCATATGTATTCCAACTCAAATAGGGCTTGTAAGTTACTTAAAAGGGAAATCTGCTGATTTTTCAAAATAGTGTACAAAACCATGTTTTCATTCATGTATAATTACCTGTGACTCTGAATCGTTGTCTTTTCATTAGCTTAGAATGAGCCCTTCATATCTACTTAGGGAGCAGCTCCTCTACCAACAGAGGCCCCTATACTGCGCCGGCATGTTTCTGCAGCAACCCAGAACAGACAAATCAAACACTGGCTCTAGAGAGCGCCCTCCACGTTTTCATGCTGAAGCGGCAGCTTGGATTTGGTGGCGCTGTAGCTCCGGTTGCAAGACGTAGAAAGAAGAAGAATCAGTGGATGCTGTCGGTGCTGGCTAACCATTCTGTGTTGTGACAAGTTTGAGAAATTTTGACGAAACGGAGGATCACACTTATTTTTTAGTACCAGAAAAAGCAAAGGAGGGTGAATCCTTATAGTCAAAGAAGCGAAAAACTGACAGCCACCATAGGTTCTGCTACATGCTTGGAAAGGGTGGGGTGAGGGAGGGGGATTCAGCAGGCGGTAATCTGCAACCTCACTGCAAATAAACTTTACACACTGAACCTTTAATAATGAAGATGTAAACAAAGTCGTTCAGAGTGGTTTAGTGTGAAATGCTCCATTCTAGAGAAACTTACAGAATTGTCAGAATTGTTCACAGTGGTGGTGATAGGAACCAGACGTCCACCTCTAAAAGCCCCCTCACAGAAAGTTATTGCACAAAATTGTTACAGGTCTGTTTCCTGATGTCAGAGACGATGTTTTACGATAGGATTTGACTTAAAACTTGTTTTTTTATATATATTTTTGTGGTGGAGGGATACATGCAGGGGCTGTGTGGCAAAATAGTCCCCAAAGAAAGCATCTTTTTGGATTTACCACTATTTTACCATCATCAACATTCCATATAAAACTGAAGACTCGTGTAGGTTCACTGGTAGTTTTAGTCAGTAAATAAAATGGCTATATTTGTGTTGTAGTCATGGTGACCCCTGGTTCCTATCACCACCACTGTAAAGAAATCTGAGTGGGCAGATTTCTCTACTTTTTTACATCAAACCATTCTAAATGGCTCTGTTTCCCTCTCAATAATTAAATTGTACAGAAATTTTAACGAAACGGTGGCATTTCCCTCTAATTAGCCAAGGAATGTGCTAAGCAGAGGGGTCTGGGTTTGGGAACCGCTTTTGTGTACTTAAAACTTGGATGAACATCTAACAGCATCATTTTAAATCTGATTCCATGTCATGTTCATACTTTTAGTCACCATCAAATCTGGCTTGTCCATTATTTGGTCACAAGTCTAAATAGAATCTGATTAATTTTGATTCATCTGATTAATCTGCTGATTTGTGCTGAGGAAATCTCTGCAAACAGATGGACCAAAGGAAATGTAACATTTCAAATATGGGCATTAATGGGTTAACAGGCGTCGTCCTGCTGTTTTATCTGTTTTATCACAGCCCCTACGTGTCTGATATCTGATCTGTTTACACACGGCATGTTTACAGTGGTAGTTCTAATGAAGCCTGAGCTGTGCTGAGCACCAGGGGGAATGAAGGCTGCTGCAGCACCTGCTCCTCTATTGTCCAGTCTGAGCACACGGCGCTCTCTCTACTGGCCTCATTAATAGTGCTGGCTTTTGAAATTCAATACTTTTATATAGAACTGACCGGATTATCAAAACCACCCAATACAACTGCTCATCACTCCGTACCAGATTTCAGCACCACCTAAAAAAGATGGCTCTTCAAGGGTTCTTTAATAAAGACAGTGGTTCTGCATAGAGCATGCTTAAATGGTTCTGTGCTTGGCGCAATGGTTCTCCAGATTGATGGAGAATGTGTTGTATATGGTTCTGTATGGCACAATGTCAAGCTTGTATACAATACAGGGACCTGGAATTCCACCAATGTTTTCAAAATTTATACATAATTTAACAGTCATTCCGAGTGTTCTGATGTGAAAAGCTCTGTTCTACAGAGAAAATTACAGCGGTGGTGATAGGAACCAGACATCTGAAGAGTTTAATGCTGCTAAAACCTCCCTCACAGAAAATTATTACACAAAAAAAAATAAGAAAGTGTTGACTGATGTCTGAGATATTGTTTCATGACTGTGTTGAGAAGGTTTTGGTCAAAAACGTATATATTTAAAGTTTATGTGGAGGGATACATGCAGGGGTTTGTGAGGCAAAATAGTCCCCAAAGAAAACATCACAATTCATACCATCATCAACATTCCATATAAAACTAAGAAGACACGTGTAGATTTACTGGTGGTTTTGGATGGTAAATAAAATGTCTATATTTGCTTTGTTGTCATGGTGACCCCTGGTTCCTATCACCACCACTGTAAAGAAGAGTCTCTACAATCAACTATTTCAGACCAAATTACTCTGAATGACTCTCAACCACTGAATTATGCAGATCTTTTGAAGAGTCAGTAGAAGTTTATCATCTATAGCTGGTTTTTCTAGTAAAAAAGTGCTTTTAAGAGTTTTCTTGCGCCCTCTAGTGGACCCATATGTCACTGATTGTATTTATTCTTCTTATTTCTTTTCTTCTTAATGTTGATTCAGATCATTTTATAGTTGTCCTTAACATCATGGTTACTCACTTACTATTTTTGTAGTTTTTGGTTATTATTGATCTCTGCTTGCTTTTGTTGGCGTCTCTTGTTCCTTCTTTGTTGTGTATTTAAGCTAAAGTTGTGTATCTGAGAGAAAACTGAGGCCGAAACAGGCCGAGCTGAGAGCTGCACACACCCAAGACCAACGATAACTGACCATGGCTTCTGTTATTACTTATGAACACCAGAAATGTGCATTTCAGTGACCTTTGAGTCGCAGGTTCTGTAAAGGCTACCTGTGGCCTTTTTAATAGGTCTAAAGATAATCGTCTACAAAAAAGATGGCGGTTATAAATCGTTTGAGATTTAATGAGGATGGCTGATCAAAG